TGTGTTTTGTGGACCTAGAGAAAGCGTATGACCGGATCCCACGCAACAGTCTGTGGACATGCCTTGGTGCATACGGGATAGATGGCCAGCTGCTAAGGGCCATTCAATCACTGCATTCTGATAGCAGGTGCTGCGTCAAAGTGACTGGCATTAAGTCGAAAACTTACAACGTTCGCACTGGTCTCCGCGAAGACTGCGTCCTGTGTCCTCTCCTGATTCTGCTGTACATGGATAAAACAGTCAGGAGCAGCGAAGGCGATGAATGTATCAGTGTAGGAGATGTGGAGACGAGAAGGCTGCTGTTTGCAAACGACCTTGTTCTATTGGCATCTTCTGAAACTGATCTACAGTGCTCCCTAAAATGGTTCGCAGCCGAGCGCGACGTAACCTGCATGCGGGTGAACGCATCTAAAACGAAAAGTCTAGAACTTTTCGTTCTCCTTCCTGTTGCTTTCTTCAGTTTAACGGAGTGGCAGTGGAGCAGGTGGTGCAGTTCAACTACTCTGCATCGTATTTACTAGTGATGGAAAGATGAGGGAGGAGATCGACCGGCGAACTGGTGTAGCCGGTGGCGTTCTGCGTGAATTAACCCGATCCATTGTGACTACAGCAGAGTTCAGTCAGAGAACTAAGCTCTCGGTATTCAAATCGATCTTTATCACAATGGTTGCCTAGATCATCAGTGTTCCTGGACCATGAGTGAAAAGCTGGGTAACTGAAAAGCTTCGAACCCGGGTATAACCTGCTGAAATTGGCTTACTTAGAAGAGTCGCTGGCCTTAAGCGTCTCGGTATGGTCCGGAATAGTGACATCCGGAAGAGCCTTGGAATTCTCCAGATTGAGAAGTCACAGCTATGATGGTCTGGGCACGTATTGCAAATGCCTCCAGAAAGGAAGGCTAAGCAACTCTCTCTTGCCCATGCGACCGGCAGAATGCCCATAGGTCGGCCAAGATTAACCTGGTGCAAATATATGGAAGAAGTCTGTTCCAGACTCTAGTTGTCTTTTGCCGAAGCTCAGATTCTGGCACAGGAACGCTGGAAGCACTGTCTGACGCGTGTCTCCGCGACCCGAAAGGAGAAGCGATCAAGGATGATGGTGATGATGAAAAAATCATATGCGCATATGAATATTCGTTTAATTCATTATTACAAAAAATTGACTTACTTATAATCTGTAAATGTTGCACATAATTACTGAACAGATCAACGCTCTCAGAAAACAGAAAAACAGATTTCGCGATACACTACATTAATTGTTTAAAGGGTTGTGTGAACAGGTCTAGGCTCAATGAAATTTTAAAGTGCACTGCTGCATGTGTCTTGTTCGTTATACTTGGGCTCGGGCCGTGGCATAGAAGAATTACGTCATGATCGAGGCGCTGGGTCTAGCAGTATGCTTGCGAAAAGCATCATTAGCGGGTTTCTACTCCTGGGGATTCGCCATAAATACTTAACTACCTTTTCAGCTTCGAAGATTGCTGATGAACTGTACCTTCCTAATGGCTTCACAATATTCTTTCGGCATTGCCTAAATCCGCCTTTTATCGTGCAGCATCGTAGACGCCGAACAAGTATTCCATCTTCTTCGCTTGATATGTTTCGGATATTTTTGACTTCTGGATATTTAAGCTTGTCAGCTTCAATCATTGTGCAAATTATTGGCATTTCTTCACACTCAGAGGTCTTCTAAGGAAGTTCGATGCCCTGATTATGCCTGATTGACGAGCAAACCATATGCCATCTAGCCAGAGTTGATCACCGCTAATATTCATTTCGTTTATGCCATGTGATTCCAGACATTTATAGAATGCATTCTTTTCTACTCGTATCACCTGTAACAATCAACATATCGGTTCAGCGCTGTTCTGTAAGTCATATAAAGTTCGCTCTTTACTGTCTCTGCCGCAAATTTGATAGGGCAAAACAATCAACTGCCATGAGGCAAGTGGTTTTCATCAGAGCTTGAACCTCGATATATTCATTCAAATAGGTACCACTTTCAGGGTAAGAGAGGTGCTTCTACATTTCTACTGACTGCACGGCAGTTACAACGTTACCTCTGAGAGAAACGCCTTCCATGCAATAAAAACTGCTACAGTGTTAAGTAGTGAGGATGCTTGTTCCTAATCATGCATTCATTTATATTGCAACTATCTGCATT